TGTGGCTCAAGCGGTAGTGTGCTCGCCTGGCATGCGTGCGGCCCGGGTTCGATCCTCAGCACCACATACAAACAAAGATGTTGTGTCTGCCGAAAACTTAAAAAATAAATAAATAAATAAATAWATTTTTTAAATTATAATTCTAAAATAGCAACTGTTTTTATTCCAGAGTGTCCAATATTCCAATGATTCTTTGTTCTGCCACATTGGCCAATTCTAGAATTATTAGTAAGAGTTCCTTTAATCTCTTACACCATTTACAGTATCTCAATGAAGCAAAACATGATCTACTGGCAGAAGTTTTTTTTTTTGTTGTTGTTTTTATCTAATGTTTGATTTTTAAGAGAACATAGATTTTTTTTGTGTGTGTGTGTATGTGTTACATGGGTTTAACTACCTAGGAACACTTAACCACTGAACTACATCCCCAACCACCCCCTACCTTTTTTTATTTTTTATTTTGAAATGGGGTCTCCCTAAATTGCTTAGAGCTTCACTAAGTTACCAAGGCTGGCCTCAAACTTGCAATTCTGCCTCAATTTCCCAAGTCACCAGGATTACAGGCATGAACCACCATTCCTGGCAAAGAACACAGAATTTATAGAAGCTATACAGCAAAGGAAATAAATCTCACTTAAAGAAAAAAAACTAGATTTGTATTTTTACTTTGAAAGAGGATTAAAGTTTTTGTTTGGGATTCTGTGATTAAATTAGACATTACCTTGATTTTCAGACATCAGGTCAGCTTTCAATCCCTCTTTAGATCTGCACCTAGAGCCTGAGGACAGCACTCTCAGCAAGAATAATGAGACTGCTCATACCCAGAGCACATGTGCTCTAGGAAGCAAATTAGAGCTCTCTGCATATATCTTCATCGACTATCTCTGATTTTTTTTACCAGTTTGTCATTAAAAGCTCACAGAACTTTCCCTGGAATTTGTTGCTTTGGAGTTTTTCTATAACAAAATACCTGGAAAAAATAAAAAATTAAGGGTAGAAAAGTTTATTTTGCCTCACAATTCCAGATGTTTCAGTTGATGCCAGCTGGCCATTGTTAAGATGAACCTGTGGTGAGACAGAATATCATGGCAGAAAGGCATGGCAGAGCAAAGCTGCTTACTTCATGGTGGCCAGAAGCAAAGGGCAAGAGTAGAAGGACAGAAAACAAGATATAGTCCCCAAAAGCACACCCCCAAGGACCCACTCCTTTCAACTAGGTGAAGCTGGGGGACAAAAAGACAGTCAATATAGGTAACAAATAATTGGGTCTGATCAGGAAGGTGGTGGCTAGTTAGAAAGAAAATCAAATGCTACCCTTTCCCCTGCCTCCTTCCAAAGCCCTTCCCCCTGCTCCTGCTCCAACCTGTTGCTAAGGTAATCTGCCCCAGGAATTGTTCCTCTCTGCAGGAAGTTGTAAGAGTTATTAAGTGATATCTCCTGGCTATTACCATACTGCATGGATCACTCCACCATTTGGCCCTTCCCTTGCCCATTTGGCTTTCACCATTTTGCTTACCCTGGCCACTGGTCATGTAGGCAAGATGGGAAGGAGGGCATGAGAATAAAGAAAATCTGAGATGTATAAAAGGGGCAGGACACTCCCACTTCCTTGGATAGTAGATATGGCCTCCTTCTTCCCCACCTCCAGCCCAGCAGTCTGTTTCTAGTCTTTAAGTAAACTTGTTTCTATGCTAGTCTCTTTGTTTCTCCCATTTCTCCAGTGTTCAATCTTGAACATCTGGGGAAATGGAACTCACTGTCACCAGCAACCGGCAGTATTATAGGTTCCACTTCCTACAGTTTCCACCACGTCCCAATAATCCATTTAGATATGATTCAATCATTGGCATCAATGAAATTAAAATCCTCATGCTCCAATCACTTCCCAAAGGTCCTACCTCTGAACATTGCTGAGTTGGAGACAAAGCCTTCAACACAAGAGTCTTTGGGGGCTACTTCATATCCAAACCATAATCCCAATCTGTCATCTACAATAACCAACCTGGGAAAACAGCCTACTATAAGATAGACTATAGCAAGTCAGAATATTAACTCTAGCAACAACCCAGAAAGTTTAAAAAAAAAAAAAATATATATATATATATATATATATATATATATATAGTAATCAGTACAAAATATCGTGGATTTGATTAATATTTGATAGTTTTCCTAATTTGTCTGCAATTCCAATTTAGAACTAACCAGATAAAGCCAAATATGCACCCTTAACCGATCACACAGGATGTCCTATATCTAGTTAGCCTGCTGTCCTAATCTATTGTCTGTTGCCACAACAAAATACCACAGACTGTGTAATTTATAAATAATAGAAGTTCTAGTGTCTGGGAAGTCCAAGGCCATGCTGCTAGCGTCTATTCAGTTTCTAGTGTGGATCTTCTTTCTGCTTTATAAAACAGCAGAGAGCATCACATTGATACTGCMGGTTACTGGTCCTGCTTCCTCACATGTTGAATTATAACATTAGAGAAGCACAAGGAGGCAAGCATATAAGCAGGATTTATTTAAAAAGGGTTAACACAGACTTGTCCCAGGAGGGAGAAGGGGACCATAGCTGATATCCTTGCATCCTAAGAAGTCTTTATCTTTTTATAGGTTTGCTTTGCTCACCTGCTCTCTTCCCCTTATCTTTCCTTTGTTCACCTGCTCTCTTCCCCTTATCTTTCTCCATCCAGCCTATGTGACTAGGCCCAGGAAATACTTGAAAGGGATTGCCAAAAGGTGGGAAACAGGTGGGCTGAAGGAGCCAGAGAGGAGTAATCCAGAAAGGAAGGGGGTGTAATTAACAACTCCCTATAGGGAGGAACAATCCCTGGGACAGGTTACCTTAGCAGCAGGTTGGAGCAGGGGCAGGTTATCTTGATTAGGGTGGAAGAAGGGCTCTGAAGAAATTAATATTTCAATTCCTCCATTCTCTCAGATCCAACCCTTGCCTACCTGCCTAATTCTGGCTTCAACATGGCAAGTTTAAGCAAATATGTTAGCTCAGGCTGCTAGATATGGTTTAGAGGTGGTGTCCCTCCAAAGTTCATGTGAGACAATGCAAGAAGTTTTGGAAGAGAAATAATTATAGTCTTAAYCTAATCAATGGATTGATTCCCTGATTGGTGGTTGGAGGTGTGGTAGCTAGAGGCCGTGGGGGTGTGATTATTGAAAGTGGTTCATTGGGGGCTTGACTATGGGATTCATAAATAGAGAGAAAGAGAAAGAGAAAGAGAGAGAGAGAGAGAAAGAGAGAGAGAGAGAGAGAGAGAGAGAGAGAGAGAGAGAGAGAGAGAGAGAGAGAGAGAGACCATGCTTTCTGATCATTATGTGAGCCTTTTCCCTCTGTCACACACTTCTGTGAAGTTCAGCCTCAACTGGAGCCTGGAGGCCTGGTTCAGGACTTCTTTGAACTGAGACCTCTGAAACTGTGAGCCCTCAAATGAACTTTCCACCTTTAAGGTTTTGGTGATCGAGTCCTTTAGTCACAGCAGTGAAAAAGCTGAGTAAAACATTTCTTTTTCTTTAAAAAAAWTTTTTTTGATTGTCAATGGGTCTTTTTAAAAATTTATTTATATGCATGCAGTGCTGAGGATGGAGCCCAGGACCTCACACATGCCAGGCAAGCACTCTACCACTGARCCACAACCCAGCCCAAACATCTCTCTTCTTATAAAGACATTAATATCGCTATGGAGGACTGAGGATATAGCTCAGTTGGTAGAATGCTTGCCTCACACGCACAGGCCCTGGGTTCAATTCCCAGAACAACCAAAAATAATAATAATAATAAATAAGTAAATATCACTATGGGGGTCCACCTCCAAATACGATTAAAATGAATTTGGGGTAGTTTCCAACACATGTCAGTGGGTACATTCAAACCGTAGTGCCAACCTATGGCTTCTCCATGAAACTTTTCCTTTTTCCACTACAAGTTTTTCCTATTCCCCTATCTGCTTTTGATTTCTACTAAACAGTACATGGTAGTAGTGATTGACTCCTTATAGGAAGCTCTGAGTAGTCTTTTTTCTCATATGGTTTTCATTTATTTTCTATGCAGAAAGACCCTCTTGAACCTTTCCATAGTGGTACTTTCCCCAGTTAATGTTTAAAATGTTTCCCCAGCCAGATGTAGTGGCTCACACATGTAATCCCAGCAGCTTCCAGAGGCTGAGGCAGGAGGATTGCTCAGCAACTTAGCGAGACCCCTGTCTCTAAATAAAATATAAAAAGGGTTAGGGATGTGGCTCAGTGGTTAAGTACCCATGAGTTCAATCCCCAGTACCAAATTTTTTTTTTTTAAATCAACAAAAACATGTCTCCCTGTCCACCAGACTCCAAGCACAACAAAAATAGAGTGGTGACACACACATGTAATCCCAGAAACTTGGGAGGCTGAGGCAGGAGGCTCACAAGTTCCAGGCCAACCACAACAATTTAGCAATGCCCTAAACAACTTAGCAAGGCCCTGTCTCAAAATTTTAAATAAATAAATAAATAAAAATAAGAAAAGCTGGAGATGTGGCTCAGAGGTAGAGTTTCTGTGGGTTTCATCCCTAGTACTGGGGAAAAAAATAGAGAAAGGATAGAATTATGAACTAAGCTTTTTACAATTTATTTCATATGACTCTTATATGCATTAATACTTGAGACTAACAGGGTTGCTTAAAGGTATAGAAAACACAGAGCCAACCTTTGCATTTAGCTTTATTAGGTCTGACTTAGATATATATCATCATCAGAAAGAACTATATCATCAAGAACACTCAATGGAATATTCTGTTCTCACAGTCCTCATTTAACCTCAACAGACAAACACCGATGTCAAAAAATATTTAATACTAAATAGGGCTGGGGTTGTGGCTCAGTGGAAGAGCACTTGCATAGCTTGTGCGAGGCCCTGRGTTCGATCCTCGGCACCACATAAAAAATAAATAAATAAATAWATAAAGGTATTGTGTCCAACTACAACTAAAAAATAAAAAAGTACTTACCCACAAAAATCTTTTCATTGAAAGTTGAAAACTGACTGGAAATCTGTAAAAACTGGAACCAGAAGAAAGTCGATACCTCAGAAAAGTTCTTCCTGAGGAGAGGTTAGATGACAGTTATAGATTTAGAAGTTCAGCTTTCCAAAGTTTAAGAATTTTTTCAGAATAATTTTATCAACCAAATATAGCTTATTCTTACATGTCTCATATCTCTCAGAAACATTAAAAAATACTTAGTACCAATTCCAGTTTTTAATTATATTAAAATTATTTTCCAAAGTTCATTACTAATTATTTTAAGTTAGACTGCATTTGAAATAACAGAAAGCTACCCTTATAAAATTTATTTTCCTCTGTCCTGAATAAACTCATTACAGAATCATTAGTACACTTATTACTCACCTCTTCTTTTGAAAAAATAATTTATTTCCTAAGACCACCTTAGTTCCTGCTTTTCTTCTCCTTTCTTTCTTGATCCATGGGTAGTTCTGACACCACATATGTGTGCAGAATCCAGTGTTAAGCTTTGTTCCATTGGTGGCTGGCTACATAATCATCTGTTCATTTCTCCAGAAAAACAGGATAAAACTGCTAACAATTCACATTTTGAAATTGTATTTGTAAGAAAATCCAGAAATACAGTCACGGCTTACTTTTTCAAATTTGTTATTATCACCAATATGTAGGGAAATACAATTATTTCTCTGTATTTCTTCTAAATCTGTTTCTCCAAAATCAGTGAAAAATATTTAAACAAATAACTTTCTAGTTTGACTGCAGCCAGGCAGTGTTTTTCTGTCCCCSAACTGTCTAGTTAAAATTGTAAGCACTAGGGCTGGGGATGTGGCTCAAGCGTACCACGCTCATCTGGCATGCGCGGGGTGCTGGGTTCGATCCTCAACACCACATAAAAAT